AGAAGGAAACTACCTCAACATAATAAAGGCCATATACAACAAACCCATAGCCAACATCATACTCAATGGGCAAAAACTGAACGCCATCCCCCTGAAATCAGGAACGAGACAAGGATGCCCTCTATCACCACTCTTATTTAACATAGTACTGGAGGTCCTGGCCAGAGCAATCAGGCAAGAAAAAGGAATAAAAGGAATCCAAATAGGGAGGGAAGAAGTGAAACTCTCGCTGTTTGCAGACGACATGATCTTATATATGGAAAACCCCAAAGAATCCATTGGAAAACTGTTAGAAGTAATCAACAACTGCAGCAAAGTTGCAGGGTATAAAATCAATTTGCATAAATCAGTAGCATTTCTATACTCCAGTAATGAACCAACAGAAAAAGAACTCAAGAATACAATACCATTCACAATCGCAACAAAAAGAATAAAATACCTTGGGGTAAATTTGACTAAGGAAGTGAAGGACCTATATAATGAAAATTACAAGGCCTTTCTGAGACAATTGGATGACGACATAAGGAGATGGAAAGACATTCCATGTACATGGGTTGGAAGAATAAACATAGTTAAAATGTCCGTTCTACCTAAAGCAATCTACAGATTCAACGCCATCCCAATCAGAATCCCAATGACATTCTTTACAGAATTAGAAGAATCCTAAAATTCATATGGGGCAACAAAAGACCCCGAATTTCTAAAGCATCCTGAGAAAAAAGAACAAAACGGGAGGCATCACAATCCCTGACTTCAAAACATACTACAAAGCTACAGTAATCAAAACAGCATGGTACTGGTACAAAAACAGGTGCACAGATCAATGGAACAGAATTGAAAGCCCAGAAATAAAACCACACATCTATGGACAGCTTATCTTCGACTAAGGAGCTGAGGGCATACAACGGAGAAAAGAAAGTCTTTTCAACAAATGGTGCTGGGAAAACTGGAAAGCCACATGTAAAAGAATGAAAATTGACAATTCTTTTTCACCATTCACCAAAGTAAACTCAAAATGGATCAAAGACCGAAAGGTGAGACCTGAAACCATAAGGCTTCTGGAAGAAAACGTAGGCAGTACACTCTTTGACATCAGTATGAAAAGGATCTTTTCGGACACCATGCCTTCTCAGAGAAGGGAAACAATAGAAAGAATAAACAAATGGGACTTCATCAGATTAAAGAGCTTCTTCAAGGCAAATGAAAGCAGGATTGAAACAAAAAAACAACCCACTAACTGGGAAAAAATATTTGCAAGTCATATATCTGACACAGGCTTAATATCCTTAATATATAAAGAATTGTCGCAACTCAACCACAAAACATCAAACAACCCAATCAAAAAATGGGCTGGAGACATGAACAGACATTTCTCCAAAGAAGATATACCGATGGCCAATAGGCACATGAAAAGATGCTCATCATCACTGATCATCAGGGAAATGCAAATCAAAACTACACTAAGATATCACCTTACTCCCATTAGAATGACAAAAATATCTAAAACTAATAGCAACAAATGTTGGAGAGGTTGCGGAGAAAAAGGAACCCTCATACACTGCTGGTAGGAATGCAAACTGGTGCAGCCACTATGGAAAACAGTATGGAGATTCCTCAAAAAATTAAAAATAGAACTACCATACGATCCAGCCATCCCACTACTGGGTATTTATCCAAAGAGCCTGAAGTCAGCAATCCCAAAAGTCCTGTGCACCCCAATGTTTATTGCAGCACTGTTCACAATAGCCAAGACGTGGAAGCAACCTAAGTGTCCAGCAACAGACGAATGGATAAAGAAGATGTGGTACATATATACAATGGAATACTACTCAGCTGCAAAACAGAACAAAATCATTCCATTTGCAATAACATGGATGGACCTTGAGAGAATTATGTTAAGTGAAATAAGCCAGCGAGAGAAGGATAATCTGTGTATGACTCCACTCATATGAGGAATTTAAAATTATGGACTAAGAACAGTTTAGTGGATACCAGGGGAAAGGTGGGGTGGGGGGTGGGCACAAAGGGTGAAGTGGTGCACCTGTAACATGACTGACAAACATTAACGTACAACTGAAATTTCACAAGATTGTAACCTATCAATAACTCAATAAAAAAAAATAAATAAATAAAAAAGAACTCATACATCTTAACAACAAAAAAACCAGCAACGCAATTAAAAAATGGGCAAAAGATCTGAGCAGATATCTTTCCAAACAAGATATACAGATGGCCAATAGGCACATGAAAAGATGTTCAACATCACTAATTATTAGGGAAACGCAAATCAAAACCACGATGAGCTATCACCTTAAACCCGTCAGAATGGCTATAATTAATGAGACAAGAAATAACAAGTGTTGGAGAGGATGTGGAGAGACGGGAACCCTCAAACACTGCTAGTAAGAATACAAACAAGTGCAGCCACTAGGGAAAACAGTATGGAAATTCCTCAAAAAATTAAGAACAGAACTACCATAATCCAGCTATTCCACTGCTGGGTATTCATCCAAAGAACATGAAAACACAAATGCGTAAAGATATATGCACCCCTATGTTCACTGTGGTATTATTCACAATAGCCAAGACTTGGAAACAACCTAAGTGCCCATCAAGGGACGAATGGATAAGGAAGCTGTGGTATATATACACAGTGGAATACTACTCAGCCATAAAAAAGATGAAATCTCTCCATTTGCAACAACATGGATGGACCTTGAGGGTATTATGCTAAGCGAAATAAGTCAGAGGGAGAAGGTCAAATACCATGTGATCTCACTCATAAATAAAACATAAAAACAACACCAACAAACACATAGATATAGAGATTGGATTGGTGGTTACCAGAGGGGAAGGAGGAGAACAAAGGGGTGAGTAGGTATACATGTGTGGTGATGGATGGTAATTAGTGTTTGGGTGGTGACCATGATGTAATCTACACAGAAATTGAATATGATGATGTACATTTGAAATTTATATAATGTTATAAACCAATGTCACCTCAATACAAAAAATAATAAAAATGATAGAGTGGATGAAAAATTCTTAGACAGAATCTGGCACATAAAAGTATTGAATAAATGCTAGTTGTTTTATCATTATAAAGATCTGTCTCTCTATCTACCTGTATCTCCTTGATTATGTGTGGTGTGTGTGTGTTATGAATTGTCTATTTTTTAAAAATTCCCTTTCCTGTTTGTTCGTTTTGGTCTCTGACTTTGCCATGGTGGAGGTTTTCCTCAAACATTTGTGATCTTTGCCAGTCCATTCACGTTTAAGAGTGAGTTTGGAAGCTCCGTGTGCAGGAGGCTGGCTGATGGGTCAGCTTCAGTGTAAGGCGAGCAGGTAGTAAGTACTGGACTTTGCAGTCAGGCTCCCCAAAAAGACCCTCCAATCTCATGCTGGGAGGGCAAAAGCCCATGTGCTGTTCCGGGAGCCCCCTGGGGACAGGGACTGGGCATTTGCTGTTCAGTACAGATTTCCCTTAATCGCTGCTTCCATCTAGCTCCCCACCCTCGCCTGTGCCTGTGTTCTCAGTCCAGAACTTTTAGAGAATAAACCTCCCATGGCTGGCCAGGGAAGAGCAAGAGAAGTTACTGGTGCAAAGGATGGGGGACAGAATCAACAGGTCCAAGTGCGCCTCATACAGAATTCCATCCCATTCTGTTCTCATCTCTTCACTGGCCCCCCGCCTTCGCAGGTTCCTGCTGCCTCCACTCCGGCGTCTTCCTGGGCCTGCCATTCTCTCTGGCGGGTTCTCAGTCTTGTCCACTCTGGGTCAGTTACCTCCACTGGCTAGCTGCTTCCTGTCTTCTGGAAATACGTTGCTATCTCTTTTTCCCTCCGACTCTCCTTTTCCCTGTGAGTTTGTGCCCTTTTTGTTAATTCCCTCGTGCTTTAGTGGAGTTTCAAAAGGGGCAGGGATAAATGCATAAGTTTAGTTTACCAGGTTTCAAATAATTCAAGGTTCTTTAGGTCTACACTTTGAATGACTGATAAATTGAATGGCTATATTACAGACTCACTTCTACAGAGTAAGTTCCATAATATTTTGCGGCTTGGAAAGTATTTAAACTTCGATTTCTATTTGTGCTTTATCTTACCCTTTTAATTTAAACATTAATCTTTTGTAATACACAAAATATATTAGCAAAAGAGTGTATGTAAGCTATATTGGGAAGGGTATGCACAAAAGTGTTATTCAATAGGTATGGTCAAAGATTTTAGGGAAAATAAAGAAAAAGGGGTTATGGGGCCGGCCTGGTGGCGCAGTGGTTAAGTTTGCACGTTCCGCTTTGGCAGCCCGGGGTTTGCTGGGTCGGATCCCAGATGTAGACCTATGCACTGCTTGTCCAGCCACTCTGTGGCAGGCGTCCCACATATAAAGTAGAGGAAGATAGACATGGATGTTAGCTCAGGGCCAGTTTTCCTCAGCAAAAAGAAGAGGATTGGCAGCAAATGTTAGCTCAGGGCTAATCTTCCTCAAAAAAAAAAGAAAAAGAAAAGAAAAAGTGGTTGAATTTTGTTTCAGGTCAGTATAGTATAGAGAAGAGTTGAGTTACAGGAGGTGAGATGTGAGTACCAAGTGAGTTACACAAAAAAGGAAATAAAAATAGAGGAACTTAAAGCTTATCAAATTTTAAGTGTGGAAATTTGATAGTTCAGAGCTAAAAAGGGGAAGAGAGCTGACATTGACTTAGAAAAATGCATTGGTTACACCCACCTTTACATCAGTTATAACCCATCTAATGTTCCTCTGGGAAATAGGCACTTGACAGGCAGAGAAACCGAGACACAGAGAGGTTAAATGATTTGTCCAAGGCCACATAATGGTAAGTGGTATAGCCAGGAATCAAACCCAGTTCTTTCTGATTCCAGGGCTGGTATATTTTCTACAACACTCTCTGTCTACTCAGGGCAACATTAGGCATAATTTCCCTCCCAGTAATACATTAGTTATAATAATAGTTACAATCAAGTATATTGCTTACATAAAGTACCTGATTTCAGATTAAATGTCCTTGCTGTCGAGTTTACAAGAACATCTGTTTTTTCCTTGGTGATATCTCCAGAAGCAATCTGGAAAGTAATCGCACCAATTTTCATTTCATATGTTCCAAACTCAGGGTTAGAGACAGCCCCGAAGATATCTGAAAGGGAAGAGATGGATGAAGGGATAGCAGGCTTCTGGAGGAGAAAAAACATTATGGGGCTATTCTCTCCCCAGTCCCCTTTCTTCCCCTACATAAACCCAAACATTACCATGTCTCCTAGCCTGTTAAACGGCTGCCTTTTCTTTTTTAAGGGAATTAGAAAAGAATGCTTTGTGGCAGTAGCAGTATCTATATTTTCTCAGTTAAATAGGGTGACGCAGAAACATCTGATTGGACCATCTGTCTGTTTGCGAAAGTTGCTGCCGTGTCACAGAAAGGAGCGAGGAGGAAGGAGAGACTGCAGACCGCACTCCCATTTCATCTCTGAGAGATTATTTTTTTTCTAGCTTTTATTGACAAATAAAAATTGTATATATTTAAGGTGTACAATGTGATGTTTTGATATACATATTCATTGCGAAATGATTACCACAATCGAGCTAATTAACACACACATCACCTCACATAGTTACCTTTGTGTGTGTGTGTGTGTGTGTGTGTGTGTGTGTGTGTGTGGTGAGAACACTTGAGATCTACTCTCAGCAAATTTCAAGGATACAGTGCTTTGTTATGAACTAGAGTCCCCTTGCTGTATATTAGGTCTCAGAATTTATTCATCTTACAACTGAAATGTTGTGCTCCTGGGAGATTCTTTTATTACCATTTTACAAAAAGGAAAATGGTCTCAGAGTGGCCAAGGCATCTGTCCAATGTGAAACAAGGGCTCACTAACTGGAGATGTGAGCTCTTCCTGCCATTTCGCATCTTGCTGGGGTGGCGATACTTAGGCTGCTCAGAGGAAATTACCTAAAACATGTTGGAATATTACTGTACACTCTACACTCTAGGGCTTCACAAGTTAGATGTGCCATTTCTACTTGTCCCTTAAACTCTTCAGTTCTCTCTTTCCACATTTATACAGTAGCAACAGAACCACCTGCCCATGGGCTATTGTATGAGTTAAACAATATAATATATATGAAAGCCATCAGTACAGTTTACTGTGCTAGGCATATTTTAGTTATCTTTTATTATCACATATTAGAAACTCTGGCCTCATTACCAACGACTTGGTTCACATCAATAAGGTTTGTTCTTTGTGAGCCCAGACAATGGAACAGGCTCTGACACCTCTTCCATCACTGATTTGGTCTTCATGTGAATTTGTCTCCTTCTATTGGACTCCATCTAACAATGAAGAGTTGCCAAGCAAAGCAGAACAACTTTACCAGACCTTGCATATCTCCAGCCTTGAGAATCCCATCCTTGTTGAGATTTCCGTTCGACCGTCTAGTGAATTCATCTAAAAATATCTGGAAATGAAAGAAACACAGCTACTTTCTCTGCCACAACAACATTCTGTAGAAACGTTGATCCAATCCAATTCTTTGGAACGTTGATTATCAGACATCAGTTAGGAACAACAATTCTCAATAGATTTCCTCTTGTCTCAGAGACTTTTTAATTAAGGAACTGTAGTTCAACCTAGGAATTTTCTCAATAAATACCAGTGCTGATTGACTTTATTTCATGGGAAGACCACAATTCTATCCCAAATGCCTAAGAAGAACTAGGAACTTGGAGGACAACATTATCTTCCATATCTTTTTTTAAGTGCTAATGTTAGTAAGCTGCAGCAATTGCTCTCAAACTCAGGTAATAAAAAGGTAAGAAGAACCACTTCTACAACCAGCATTGAGGCTTGCTATGTGCTAGACGCTTCAAATCCATCCTCTCGATTCTCACAACTCTGAGAGGTGTTATTGCCACGCTCTTTCCACACGATAAAACTGAGATTCAGAGATGTTACCTCCCTCGACCTTTAAATGGCAAAACCAAGATGCAAACCTTTCTTCTTTGTACTTTTATGTTGTTTGCATTTTTGCTATAAGTATGCACAATTTACATAAAATCAATAGAACTTTTTCAAGGGTGAAAACCAGATTTTGGTGCTCAGCATGGGCCAATCAGCTGAGGAGCCCTCCTCAAGGAATGTCACCTTCCAAGGGCAGTGTCGGTACTGAGCACTTGGGAAATGTGCTGGACTGCTTCTCCGTCACTGAATATGGTGCTGGTATTTCTAGCTTTAGACCCTCAGAGATGTGTATAGACTGGCTGTATTCTATCTAAATAACTAAATCCTTGAGGCTTCCCTTTTCCAGTCTTTTCCCTGTAGACAAAGCCATGACTTAGCTTTCATTTAGACGGTGTTAAATGTCTAGGCCACTTTTATGCCAATAACTTTCTGCTTCTTTCTAAGGATTTATTTATTATAGATTACCTTGTCTCTTTATAAACTGTCTAGGAAGGATGTATGTGTTATCAGTGTTACCTCCTACTTAATCCATTTGACAACTCTCTATCAGCAACCCACACTTACGTGCAAGGAAGTAGAAAACACTGTTAGTGACAGATCTGCAAAGACATCTGATTGCACTGAGGTTGACTTGACAGAATGACCAGAAGTGATATGTAACCATACCTGTTGGCTTTCCTCATCATCTGGATGTACCAGAAGTTGAACTTCCTGTAAGGTTTTCAGCCACTCACTGCTACTAAATTTGAACACTTCTGAAAGCATTAGTTCAGCAAAAATAGCTTTGGGAAACCTCAAGTTTCCGGTTCCAAGCATGGGAAATGTGATTGATGAGAAAGAAAGCTGCTCTACATTCATCAAACATTTCTTGATTATATTTGTCATGATCTGAAATGTAGAAAGTACATTTATATAAGTTAGGGCTCAAGCTGGAAAACAGAAAGAATCGTGGCTTCAGCAACACTGACTCGGCTCTCTGCTACTCTTGGCCTTGTCAGGGCCTAAGGAGTCAGAAAGGGAGAACAAGAAAGAGGGGAGAGAACTTTCCAGAGAGACTCCAACTCATTCAGGAGGGGAGAGTCCAAAGGTATGGGAATGGTTACAGAAACAATGGTATCTCATTGTAATTTAAAGTGAAGTTTATGAAGATTTTTTTGAACATTTTTATGAAAACTTTTAACAACATGGGGAAATGTTTATGTTAAAAAAGCAGGATTAAAAAAAGTTTAGAAGGGAATCTCAACTAAGAAATAAATATACATAAAATTAACTTGAAAGAAATGCAGTAAAATGTTAACCAAAGTTATCTCTAGGTGGTGGGATTATGATTTTTATTTTTTTACTTTTCCGTATTTTCTGCAATGTACACATATTACTTTTATATTCGGAAAAACACAAAGATGGGAGGTTAAACTGGGAGTAGACATGAGAATTAAGTCATCAAAAGAAGAACACTGGGAGAGTGAAATTAGCAATATGGCAGAGTGAGCTGTTTCCTTTATCTCTCCCCCTTTGAACTACAACTAAATAGACAGTCATTGATCAATGGAGGACACCCACACAGCACAACAGGACACCTGAGAGACCCGTGCAATGATACATCTAAAGGTGGATGGACCACCCCCGGGGAGGTGGTAGAGATAGGTGAGCACTCTCTGGCCCTTCTGCAGATGACATGATTCTTTATATAGAAAACTCTAAAGGATCCATCATAAAACTATTAGAAATAATCAACATCTATAGCAAATTTGCAGGGTACAGAGTCAACTTACAAAAAGCAGTTGCATTTCTATACTCTAGTAACAAACAAGCAGAAAGAGAAGTCAAGAATACTATCCCATTTACAGTTGCAGCAAAAAGAATAAAATATCTAGGAGTAGATTTAACTAAAGAGGTGAAAGACCTATACACTAAAAACTATGAGACATTATTGAAAGAAATTGAAGAAGATTAAAGAAATGGAAAGATATTCCATGCTCATGGATCGGAAGAATTAACATAGTTAAAATGCCCATATTACCTAAAGCAATCTACAGATTCAATGCAATCCCAATCAGAATCCCAATGACATTCTTCACAGAAACAGAATAAAGAATCCTAAATTTATGTGGAATAACAAAAGACCTTGAATAGACAAAGCAATCCTGAGAAAAAAGAAGGAAGCTGGAGGAATCACAATACCTGACTTCAAAATATACTACAAAGCTATAGTAATCAAAATAGCATGGTAGAGGCACAAAAACAGATACACAGACAAATAGAACAGAATTGAAAGCCCAGAAATAAACCCATACATCTATGGACAGCTTATCTTTGACAAAGGAGCCAAGAACATACAATGGAGAAAGGAAAGTCTCTTCAATAAATGGTGTTAGGAAAACTGGACAGCCACATGCAAAAGAATGAAAATAGACTATCTTGCACCATACACAAAAATTAACTGAAAATGGATTAAAAACTTGAATGTAAGACCTGAAACCACAAAACTCCTAGAAGAAAATATAGGCAGTACACTCTTTGACATTGGTTGTAGCAACATATTTTGAATACCACGTCAACTAAGGCAAGGGAAGCAAAAGAAAAAAGTAACAAATGGGACCATATCAGACTAAAAAGCTTCTACCAGGCAAAGGAAATCATGAACAAAACAAAAAGACAACCCACCAACTGGGAGAAAATATTTGCAAATCATATATCCAAAAAGGGGTTAATATCCAAAATATATAAAGAACTCATACAACTCAACAACAAAAAAACAAAGAACTCGATCAAAAATGGGCAGAGAATGGACACAGGGATGGTTCAACATCCGCAAGTCAATCAACGTGATTCACTACATTAACAAAATGAGAAACAAAAACCACATGATCATCTCAATAGATGCAGAGAAAGCATTCGACAAGATCCAACATCCATTTATGATAAAAACTCTCAATAAAATAGGTATAGAAGGAAAGTACCTCAACATAATAAAGGCCATATATGACAAGCCCACAGCCAACATCATACTCAATGGACAAAAACTGAAACCCATCCCTCTCAGAACAGGAACAAGACAAGGGTGCCCACTTTCACCACTCTTATTCAACATAGTACTGGAGGTTTTGGCCAGAGCAATTTGGCAGGAAAAAGAAATAAAAGGAATCCAAATAGGCAACGAATAAGTAAAACTCTCACTGTTTGCAGACAACATAATCTTATATATAGAAAACCCCAAAGAATCCATAGAAAAACTGTTAGAAACAATCAACAACTACAGCAAAGTTGCAGGGTATAAAATCAACATACATAAATCAGTAGCATTTCTATATGCTAACAATGAACTAACAGAAAAAGATCTCAAGAACTCAATCCCATTCACGATTGCAACAAAAAGAATAAAATACCTTAGGATAAATTTAACCAAGGAAGTGAAAGATCTATACAACGAAAACTGCAAGACCTTCTTGAAAGAAATCGACGATGACATAAAGAGATGGAAAGACATTCCATGAACATGGATTGGAAGAATAAACATAGTTAAAATGTCCATACTACACAAAGCAATCTACAGATTCAACGCTATCCCAATCAGAATTCCAGTGTCATTCCTTACAGAAATTGAACAAAGAATCCTAAAATTCATATGGGGCAACAAAAGACCCTGAATTGCTAAAGCAATCCTGAGAAAGAAGAACAAAGCTGGAGGCATCACAATCCCTGACTTCAAAACATACTACAAAGCTACAGTAATCAAAACAGCATGGTACTGGTACAAAAACAGATGCACAGATCAATGGAACAGAATTGAAAGCCCAGAAATAAAACCACACATCTATGGACAGCTAATCTTTGACAAAGGAGCTGAGGGCCTACAACGGAGGAAAGAAAGTCTGTTCAACAACTGGTGCTGGGAAAACTGGACAGCCACATGTAAAAGAATGAAAATCTACCATTCTTTTTCACCATTTACTAAAATAAACTCAAAATGGATCAGAGACCTAAAGATTAGGCCTGAAACAATAAGTCTTCTAGAAGAGAATATCAGCAGTAAACTCTTTGACATCAGCTTCAAAAGAATCTTTTTGGACACCATAACCCCTCACATGAGGGAAACAATAGAAAGAATAAACAAATGGGACTTCATCTGACTAAAGAGCTTCTTCAAGGCAAGGGAAAACAGGATTGAAACAAAAAAACAGCCCACTAATTGGGAAAAAATATTCACAAGTTATTTATCCGACAAACGGTTAATCTCCATAATATACAAAGAACTCACACAACTCAACAATAAAAAATCAAACAACCCAATTACAAAATGGGCAGGGGACATGAACAGACATTTCTCCAAAGAAGATATAAGGATGGCCAATAGACACATGAAAAGATGCTCATCATCACTAATCATCAGGGAAACGCAAATCAAAACTACACTAAGATATCACCTTACACCTGTTAGAATGGCAAAAATATCCAAAACCAAGAGTGACAAATGTTAGAGAGGCTGTGGAGAAAAGGGAACCCTCATACACTGTTGGTGGGAATGCAAACTGGTGCAGCCACTATGGAAAACAGTATGGAGATTTCTCAAAAAGTTAAGAATAGAAATATCTTATGACCCAGCCATCCCACTACTGGGTATCTATCCTAAGAACCTGAAATCAGCAATTCCAAAAGTTCCATGCACCCCTGTGTTCATCACAGCATTATTCACAATAGCCAAGTCATGGAACCAACCTAAGTGCCCAGCAACTGATGATTGGATAAAGAAGATGTGGTATATATATACAATGGAATACTACTCAGCCATAAAAAAGGACCAAGTCGTCCCATTCACAACAACATGGATAGACCTTGAGGGTATTATGTTGAGTGAAATAAGCCAGACAGAGAAAGACGAACTCTGTATGACTCCACTCATAGGTGGTAGTTAACATATGGACAAAGAGAACTGGTCAGTAGTTGCCAGGGGAAAGTGGGGTGGGAGGAGGGCACCAGGGGTGAAGTGGTGTACCTACAACATGACTAATAATGATGTACAACAGTAATTTCACAAGGATGTTAACTTTCATAACCTTGATAAAAAAAAATGGGCAGCGAATACGAACAGACATTTTTCCAAACAAGATATCCAGACGGCCAATAGGCACATGAAAAGATCTTCAACATCAGTAATCACTGAGGAAATGCAAATCAAAACTACAATGAGATAGCACTTTATACCAGCCAGAATGGCTATAATTACTAAGACAAAAAATAACAAATGTTGGAGAGGATGTGGAGAAAAGAGAACTCTCATACACTGCTGGTGGGAATGCAAACTAGTGCAGCCACTATGGAAAATAGTATGGAGATCTCTCAAAAATTAAAAATGGAAATACCATAGGATCCAGCTGTCCCACTACTGAGTATTTATCCAAAGAACTTGAAATCAACAACACAAAGAGATTTATGCATCACTATGTTCACTGCAGCATTACTCACAATAGCCAAGACACGGAAGCAACTCAGTTGCTCATCAAGGGACGAATGGATACAGAAGATGTGGTATATTTACAGAATGGAATACTATTCAGCCATAAAAAAGACAAAATCATCCCATTTGCAACAACAAGGATGGACCTTGAGAATATTACGTCAAGTGAAATAAGCCAGACAGAGAAAACATACACCACATGATCTCACATATATGTGGAGGATAAACAAACACATAGACAAAGAGAACAGATTAGTGGTTACCAGAGGGGAAGGGGGTAAGGGGGTGGGCAAAAGGGGTAAAAGAGCACATATATATGGTAATGGACAAAAATTAGACTATTGGTAGTATACATGATGCAGTATATACAGAAATTGATAAATAATAATGTACACCAGAAATTTTGCAACATTATAAACCAATATGACCTCAATAAAATAAAGATAATTTTTTTTTTTTTAAAAAAAAAAGGACACTGACCCGTCTTCATTCCTCACCACAGCTCTGGCCACATCTCTTTGTTGTACTTAAGGATTATTACACGAATCTTCAGACACCATTCCTGGAGAACCCCAATGATTGTTACTACTTTTGAGAGTCAGTTACTCTGAAATAACTGGTAGTTGTGATGGACTGTCCACGGAATATAATAAAGATTTCAATAAATAGACAGGGTTCAATCAATACTAGGGTTTCTCAACCTGGCCCAGATCATTCTTTCCTGTGGAGCCTGGAGTACGCTTTATAGGATATTTAGCAGAATCCCTGGCCTCTACTGTCTAGTTACCAGGAGCAGTTATCAAAAGCCAACGTCCCCTGGAAGACAAACTCACTTTGGTTGAATACCACTGATCTACATCATGCCAGAAGAAGATTACCAAGGCTATTAAATGAAGCAGAGAACTAGGGTCTTTCTCTACCTGCAAAGATCTTGCTCCATTATCCCAGCCTGGAGCCACGACATGGAGCACAGCTTTGCAGTCCAGATCGCAGCCACTTGTCATGAGTATGCTACCCACTTCCTCCTCTGCTCCCTGCTTGGTGGCATTTAACTCTTTCTGGAGCATTGGACCAGCTTTCATCAAAAGAGCCTGAGATAGTGGTCCTCTTCCAAGCTGAAGATCAGTGGGAACAGTGTTGACAATGACATCAGCCTTAAGGAAAACAGAAACAATTTGTTAGATTGAATCAGTAAGTAATGATTGAGCACCTATGACTTGCTAAGTACTACAGGGTAATGCACAAGATATGTTTGCCTATCATACAGACCTGTCAGCTCTACCCTCAAGGAACTTACAATCTGTTATTAGTACTTAATGCCATACTGAGGTGACTCACAAAACCTAGAAATGAAGAAAATATATTAGCCACTACTGTCAAGTCAACATGTAATAAGTTGGAGCAGAGCTGTGAAAATGAGTGAAAAAGAGACCAGAGACAGAGAGAGAGAGACAAAGAAAGAAGGAAATTGAGAGTGAAAGGTAGAGGCAGAAAGCAAAAGATGGTGAGAATGACTGAGACAAAAACATAGAAAAATTGAGAGAGACTGAGGAAGAGAGAGATTTGCTTTTAGGCTGGAACTGAGAGTAATTGTTTTGACTTCATTAACTACTAAAGAAAGAATAGGTCCATGTGAAGTGGCATCTGGTCAGCCCTGAAGGCCTGTACAAACGAAGGGCACTGAGGTGGAGGGAGGCAGGGTTTATTCAAGCCTGTCCAGAGGCATTGAGTTCTCCAATGTCTGCACTGAGGCCATCCCTTTGGTGAGATGGGGTCATAGCTGATGTCAAAAGATATTAGACATTCAATTCATGCAACTCCATTTATTCCAATTTTGTGTTCAGGTTTGGAGGGGAGAATGCTCTGATCATGTGGATTTTGAGTATTCTGGTTCCTTGGGGATCTCTTCCTCATAAATTAAAAGGTGTCTATGTCTCTGGGCCACGTAATAGTTGCATTTCTCACTCTAAGTGAATAATTGGCATCCATGGGTACACCTCCATCTTATACAAGGTTAGTTAGCATAAACTGATATCAAGACCTGAGAAGCCCCCTGCAGTGGCAAGAATGAGGGATGCTTCCAAAAACAAAAACAAAAACAAAAACAAAAACAAAAAAACTAGATCCAGCCTACTTTCTCTTCACTCCCACTTGCAGCCTCACTCTCTACTTACTGATTCCTACAGTTTGGGGAAGCAATACATCAACATGTAAAAAAGTAAAATAGTCTGATTTAATGCTTAAATCAGTTCAAGATAACCAAGAGAAACTGTGTTAAATATACAAATATTAATTGCTATAGAATTTCAAAAAATGGTAGGAATCGTTTAGACTGGACTGGTTAGTAAGAGCTTTACTAAGGGGATAAGGATTTAAGACAAGCTTGAAGAATGGATGTTACTGGGACAGGTAGAAACAAGGCAGTAAGGCATTCTAGGGGGGTGAAACATCTAAGAAAAGACCAAGAATTGAGAAAGGTCAGAGAGGAGTCCAATTGAGCCACAGGAGGGTTTTGATAGTGAGAGACAGGGCTGGGAAGAGATTTGGGGCCAGATGATGGCGGACTCTGAAAGTCACATTTTTTTGGGCTTGATCCTATAGGCAGTAGGGAGCCATTAAAGATTTTTGTGCAGGGGAGCACCTGATAAAACAATGTTTTTAGAATATGCATCAAACAGCAATGTAGAAGACATATTGGAGGGTGACAGACACTAAAGGTGAGTAGGCTAGGGCAGTACTGAGAGGTGACTGCAGGAATGAAAAGGAAAGGGAATGCACATGAGTCCTTGTGAAAGGAGGCCTGGTAATGAATTGGATGGGAAAAGCAACTCAGAGAAGAAAGAGTTAAAGAGGTTACACAGTCCAAAGTTTACACAGTACCATCCAATGGTGAGAATAGGCACCCTGACCTGAGTTGGCAAGAGTTTAATAATCAATTTAGCAGACTATGCAGTGGAAAGACTTTGGTTTCCTGATCTATGAGATGAGGGTGAGTAATGTTTATCTCAATTAAATTGTAGTACTGGTTGGGTAAGGTAAAATTTAAAGTGGTCCATTGTGAGTGGATGATGATGATAGCTTTCATTTTTACCATGTACCATGAAGATGCTCAAAACAATCCTAATATTGTCATCATCCATATTTATAGACAAGGACACTGAGGTATAAAGGGGATGTGGACCAAGATCAATGGCTGGTCAGTGGTAGAGTGGTATTTGATCCCCGCCAGAACTGGCTTTTAGAGTTGGTCTGTGTCACCACTACTCTATACCCCCTCCTAGACTGAAAGAGAAACTCACTGTCTTTTGTGTCATCCAGTTCTTTTCTGGTCTGATTGTACTCACTAAGCAATCTCATCACAGTGACTCATGTGGATCTCACTATTCCTGGTTCCATGGCAATGATCATTCTCATTGCACATTAAATAACTACAATTCCAGTTTTATAACCAGGTCTCTTGAGTTTGATTAGTGTGAGTCAGATCAAGTCTGGGTAAATGATAAGATTCAACTTCTCAACCTGCAGATCTGAGGACAAGGTCCTGAACCCATCTCTAAAAGTCTAAGGACTCTATTTACTCTAGAGAACATGAAGAAAGCGGCTGGCTTGTCTCTCCTCTGCCATCTCAGTAGCTGCAACAAAAGCAAAGAATATTTCCAGTGGCTCATAATCCATGAGTCTCCAAATTTCTCAGAAGGGTTCTCTGTCTATTAGTCTGGATTGTGTGCCCTCTGAAGGTAAATATCAAGTGTCAAAATGGTGGGTGCTATAGAATTCTGAAGAACAATCCAAATCAGTAATTCTCAGCCCTAGCTGCATATTAGAATCACCTAGAACACCTTCAAAAACTACTGATAGCTAGACCACAGACCTGACCAATTAAAATCAGGATCTCTAGGGATGGGGCCTGGGCTTCCACATTTTTAAAAGTTCCCAGATGATTCTGACGTGCAGCCAATATTCAGTGTCATGGATGTCAATAGGGATGGGATATAGGGCCTGCATCTCCTGCTAACTGGTGATTCCAAGGAAAAGGAAGTGGTAGGAGGGGAGAGGCAGGCAAGATCCTGGCTGAGCATGTAGTACCTGTACTGTGACCTTTCTCCCTCCTCATTGTGCCTCTGTCTGGGAAAGTGCTCAGGCAGGAGCAACAGGGTGTTTTTGTGAAGGGTGATATTACAATGTGACGTACATATGTCTTCCCCATTAATGCTAATGGGAACAAGAGAGAAAAACAGAACTGGGTTGAAAGTAGGTCAAAATAGGCTACAGAGAAATAAAAGGGGTGGATTTGCACACCCTGGTTTGTGGTTAAACTTGGATCTCTTCCTATGAGTACACATGAATAAATGTAGGGGATAGTAAATACAGCCCTGCATGAGTTAAATCCTCAGGTGGATTTAACTTCGCAAATTTAGATGATCTTAATCTTTGACCTTAAATCACACTACCAGTTAGATCCCATTTTTCCCTGGTGGATTTACTAAATAGCACCACTTACCGTGAGACATAAAACATCCCCACGTATCAACACAAGGTTCAGACCTTCTTTGGTTTGGGTTGAGGCTATAACATTTATGTTTGAAAGGTGATCTTTCCTGTTGCCTTGGTCTCCTGACTGTTGAGAAAACAGGAAAAAGCATTACCAGGCAATGCTATCTGAGGACTTTCCTCATAGGTATCCAAAGAGAAAATAACCATTAGATTTCACAGACTTATCTAACTCAACCCATGATTCAAAAGCAAACAATTTATTATCACATTTGAGTCTCAATTGTATTTAATACCCCAAATGTCGGTGAGCTCTTTGACTCATTCCCCCCCAAGAATCCTAGCCTTGCATATCCTGTCCATATCCCTGGCTCTTACTATTTAAGGATGCCCGGTCATATTTACAACTGTAATTCTTGCCTGAGGGCTTGCTGGAGTGCCAAAGCCTGCTTTGTTTGTCTGTGCAGCCAAGAGGAAGTGCAGGTAAATTAAGCCATCCTTCCAACTGCCCAAGCCCTCATCCAACCATTGACAGGAGTTGGTGTAAAAGTACTCCAGCAACCTTGCCTCCCAGATGGGACTTGCTCTGAGTTTCCCCAATGGGATTAAGTGGTAACTGATTTGATAACACACCCTATCAGTGTCCTTTACTTTCCTACTGAATCACTTGCACTTGAATCCTGTTTCAGTCCTCTTCTCGGGGAACCCAAACTAAGACACACCCCTCAGTCCTCCACAAGAATGCACTGGTGGTTTGAGTATTCATCAGTCACAGAATTTTAGAATTTGAAGGGTCATCACAGATCATCCAGTTCAGAAACTTCATTCTCCTGACAAGGAAACCAGTGTGCAAAGGGATGAAGCCACTTGCTCAGAGCCAAACTACTAGCTAATAAAGGACACAGTACTTTAATCTGCTCTTCACAGAGTCAAGGAAGAGGAGTCCATCTACCTGACAACGTTCTCACACTTATGAATGGTAAAAACATGGCCTGTGTCACCCTTCCACTGCTGCCCCCTGCATCTCTGACAGACAATATAATTGGTATCAGCACTCTTTCTCAATCAACCCAGATACAGTCTCAGGATCTTTCTCAACACAGAGCTCTAGTCAACAACCATGATTTGATCAGAGGAAACCCATGAAATGAAGGGTATTTGCAAGCCTGGTCTAGCTCAAAAAGGATAAGAATTTTCTCTGCTTAAAATAGTCTTAGAGAATTTTCCACACTCTGCTTTCTGTAACAAACAGAAAACTCCAGAAGGACTGGGAATGGCTCTTGGAGCGGCCCTTTTCATTGCTCAGGGACTTCATTCTTCGCTTTACAGTCTCCTGCACGCAGTCTGGTATGTTTCGTGAAAGCGTTATCAATGACCTCCCACTCTGAGAATTCCATGTGTGTAGACTCTTTCAAAACACTGAAGTGAAGACTAGAAAAGCTTCCCGAAGAATCGCCACATTCTCTGTCAAATTGTGTTTTTTCTTTTCAATGTTTTAGTTGATGTCTTTAATTTTCTTACAATTCTTTTTGCATCCTGCAAACAACCTATTATTATGACCATCTCCTTGAATATACCAGACTCAATCAAAATCCTATCATTCTCTATGCTATTTTTATGTCCTCTCATACCACTGGCTTCACATTTTATTTGGTGACTTGACATTTAGACATGATACGGGAGAATGTTTTAGAAACATCTTCTTTCCAGGTCTTGATGACATTGACTTTTGCTCCTTAAGTGAGTTAGGTGGCTGCAGACCTGAGTGTTACCTCCAGCCCCTTACAGGTGACCTGGGGCCATCTTATCTCACAGTGACACTTTCCCCTTTTAAAATTTGTCATTCCAATCAGGTGATGCTTTCTCTGCAAGAGCTTTCATATGAGAGGATCCAGGACCACCAGGAAGGTGCTGGCAACTGTCTCAGGCTGTCTTCTTTCCATGCAAGGCTATGCCCAAAGACATATAATATGGAAACACAGAGATGGACCTTTCGTTGAAGACAAACTTTTTGGCCAAGCAGGTGTCTACCACTAAAAAATAAAAAATGAAAGGGAGATATCATTCAGACAAAATCTTTGGCACCAAAAGAAATCCTGATACTAATAAGACTCTGAAATACAGTGTCTCTACCTCAAATGGTACCACTGTCAAGCAGCTCAATGAAAGATGTGACATTCATGAATGCAATAGGGCTAATCCTCACCTAACAGAATAGATCTGTTCCATTCATGTTTACTTTGCAGTGAAGTTTTTAAAAGTTAATCCCATTTTCACATTGACATCTATTATAATATTGGAAAGGTAACTTTTTTCCTTGAAAAAATCTAGCCCTCAGAGATACAATAAATAGAAACAATAATGCTTAAGCAATTTGAAATAACCTACTAGAAGTAAAGCCAATACCATTACAAAAAGGAATAGTTACAACAGTCAAAAATGTTAAAAACAAGTGTGTGCTGTAATCAAAAGAAGTCATAAAATTAGGTCAGATTCCCTAGACGCAGAGCCTGAGATGGCGATTCACGTGCAAGTGATTTATTACAGTTGTGCCCTCAGGAGAAACCTGTAGGAAGTGAGAGATGAAGATACAGAATGTGGTTTTAGGTTAAGCCTGGCCTCTTCCTGACCCTACAAGGAGCCCTGGAATATATAAATTGCATCACAGTGTTGTCCCAACCTTGAGGCAAAGGAGCTGGGTTCTTGCACCTTCCTGGTGGTTAGTTACCATCTATGGGCCATCCTGGTTGGGAGATGAATGTCAGTTGCCTAGAACCTCCAGGCTCCAGACCTTCAGTCTCCCAAAGGAAATCGTCTGGAGGAGGTTGTAAATGTGAGTCCTTAACAGTAATAAATACAGCGGTTGAATTATGAGTGCACCTAATAAATACAAGAGACCCCAGAGATCTGCGAGAAGCACCAAAGGAAAGGAAGAGCACCAAAGGAAATGCAAAGAAAAACTGCACAAGTTAGAGAGAAAGAGAACATGGCTTAGCAACTAAATTGAGTAAAAGCATCTAAGGGATTTTGGTTGACAGTCAACTCAGTACAAATCAACAGCGATGTAGCTGTGTTTAAGAAAAAAAAAGGTCACCAAACTCTGGCAAGGACATGGAGCAACAAGAGTTCCCATTCATTGCTAGCAGGAATGCAGAATGGTATAGCCGCTTTGGAAGATGGTTTGGAGGTTTCCTACAAAATTAAATATGCTCTTACCATAGGACTCAGCATGCATGCTCCTTGGTATTTACCCAAATGAACTTCGAACTTAAATCTACACACAACCTGCACAGGAATGTTAATAGCAGCAATATAACTTTATTCATAATTGTCAACTTGGAAGCAACCAAGATGTCCTTCAATAGGTGAATGGATAAATAAACTGTGGTACTTCCATAAAGTAGAATACTATTCAGAGATACAAAGAAATGAACTATCAAGCCATGAAAAGACATGGAGGAAACTTCAATGCATATTGCTAAGTGAAAGAGTCAGGCTGAAAGGCCACAAATTGTGTGATTCCAACTCTAAGACATGCTGGGAAAGGCAAAACTACGGAGACAGGAAAAGATCAGTGGTTGCCAGGGGTTTGGAGGAGGGAGGGAGGGATGAATAAGTGGAACATAGGGAATTTTTAGGGCACTGAAATTATTCTGTATGAAACCGTAATTGTGGACACATGACATTGTGCATTTGTCAAAACCCATAGAACCACAAAACAGTGAATTCTAATGTAATTAACTTTAGTTAATAATAATATATCAATATTTTTCATCAATTGTAACAAATGCACAACACTAATGCAAGAAGTTAATATTAGGGAAAACTGTCTCAGGGGCAGGGGGCATAGGAGAATTCCCTTGACTTTCTGCTGAATTTTTCTGGAAAACCAAAGCTGCTTTAAAAAAACGTAATAATGATTTGGGACTCTAACTATAGAAACATAGTAACACAAATGTGTTTGATGAATAATAACCCTATGCTACTTTTCATTGGTAAAAACAGGCAACGCCTGGGGTATTGTGTTTAGTTCAAGGCGCCAAACTTTGCAAAGGGATTATGAAAACTAGACATGTTCAGAAGCAAGAAACTGAGGTTGTGAAAGGACTCAAAACCATGTCACGTGAAGATATACAAAAGGAACTGAGTCTGTTTAACTTGCAGAGGTAGAGTAACGAGTGGGGTGGGATGCAGGGAACGGGACATAATAGTTGCCCTTAAACATTTAAAGGGCAACCTTGTGTGTTTGTGTGTGTGTCTGTGTGTGTTCCAATAAAATTTTATTTACAAAAACAGATGACGGGCTGGATTCGGCCCACAGGCTAAAGTTTTCTGACCCCTGCTCCTGATCAATCAATGCCTGTGAGATTGACACCTGCTTGGGTAGGGCAAGTTTGATCTTGGTATAAGTATTATTTAACTATAAATCTTCTACAGAGCTCGTTCAGTTTTCCCCAGGTTAAAATCACTTTTATCTTCAGATTTTGATCTAGATGTGGTAAACACCAATCTGGTGATCTTTGAAGATCCAAAAACTGAGATGATGTTGTTAAGCCAGCAAGGGCAGCACTGGTCTCTTGAGGTAAAGACCTGTCTGAGTCACTGAATGCCCACGGGCCTTCAGCGTTCCTAAGGATCCTGACAACTGCTGCAGTTTTCGTAACTCCTTCATTATCTTTTTTCTCTCCAATTTTTTTAATTCTGTTTTTTATTAAGGCATAATTGACAAACAACATTATATTAGTTTCAGGTGTACAACATAATGATTCAATATTTGTATATATTGTAAATTGATCACCACAATAAGTCTAGAATCCATCACCATCCATAGTTACAAAATTTTTTTCTTGTGATAAAAATATGGAACGCTTCAGGAACATACGTGTCGTCCTTGCACAGGGGCCACACTAATCTTCCCTGTATTGTTCCAATGTTAGTAGATGAGCTGCCAAGCAAGCACTGAAGAGCTGTCTCATAATAAAAGGATTGACTTCTACAACTTTAAGTGGAAGAACAAGGACTAATGGGTAGAACTACAGTAAAACATATTTGGGCTTAATGTAAAGCTAAATTTTAAAAAATAATTAGAACCATCCTAAGGTGGAATGGGTCAATGAGATGGTGAGTTCCCAGGAAGCAGAAGATGGGCCATCACTTAGTGGTCTGATTTTACTTCTAGAGAAACTGTTTTGTGGTTTTTGGGTTTTTTTGTGGTGGGGTGGGAGGCATATTTTTCTTAATTGAATTCGCTAACCTATTTTCAAATACATTTTACCCAGTAGAAATAGTTTATTCCAGTACTCTTATGTCAGAGGTGATAACAACACCAAAACAAAGGACACTGAACTATTTAAATCTCATTTAATAATGGCAGTTTATCTCTGCATCTGCTGAGACATACCACCATCTAAAATGCAATTCATATCTATTATTTCGAATCAAATTAGTAACTTGTGTTTTCCATTTTTGCCTAATTTGATAATTGTAAGAGCTTTATTTAGTGAATACCTGTTGTGTGTCAGATATTTTACAAATATTACCCCATTTAATTTAATCTTCACAATGACCCCGTGAGATAGATTTTATCTTCACTTTTTAAATGAGGAAACAGAGAATCAGAAAGTAACTTTGCTATTGCTATCCAGCTAGTATACTCTAGAAGATTTTGGATATATGCCTTTGGGACTCTAAAGGTCAGTGGTGCTCCAGAATTTCTATACAGAGGGCTTAGGTGTGACAATCTGGCCAGAAGTAGGGGGTGATGAAGGGAGATTGTCTTAAAGCTGTATTTTCTTGACTGTGCAAGTAAGATGGCGCCCAATGATCCCTACTTCCTGGTAATCACACCTTTGTATAGTCTTCTTCCATATTGTATCAAGATTGGTCTGTGCGACCAACAGAAGATGGCAGAAGTGATGCCATGTCACTTCTGAGGCTAGGTTACAAACATCACTACAGCTTTCCTTCCTTCCCTTCCTCAGATAACTCACTATAGGAGAAGCCACTGCCATGTCATGAACCCCCAGTGGAGATGCCCTCATAGCAAGGAACTGAGGTCTCTGGCAGCAGCCATGTGAGTGAGCTTAGAAGCAGACTCTCCAGCCCCTGTCAAGACTTGTGATGACTGCAGCCCCAACCAACATCTTGATAGCAAACTCATGAGAGATCCTGAGTTAGAATCACCCAGCTAAGCTGTTCCCAAATTCCTGACCCACAAAAGTATAAGAGGACAAATGTTTGTTACGTAAAGCCACTAAACTTTGGGGTCATTTGGTATGCAGCAATAGAAAACTAATACAGATTGTATGCTTCTTCAGCATGACTTGAAGAGGCAGGCTGATGGAGAGAGTGGGGATAAGACTAAAACCCCTACCTCCTAACCCTTTCTGGCAAAGTCATTGCTGAAATTCAACCTCTAACCACTACGCCAGGGGTACGAATTTTAAGGGTCTTAATGGAAAATTATAAATATGCATATATATATGTTAAAATAGAATAGAAAATAGAGTGCATCAGTTCCTTAATGAGAAATGCACATGTTGCAACAAAACATTCTCCAAAATTGCTACAAACACCTTCATTTTCATATAAGATGGGTTCGGATATTATATATCTATCTATATATTTTTTTTAATGATGTGTTGTTGTTAAAAAAAAAGTTTATAAAATGCTGCACTGCACTTTATATCACCCTGCCTCCTCTCTTGGTTTCTTTAGTTCACTAATTGCTGGAGTGCAGATTGAGGCTCTGAGTCGGCCCAACTTGCACGTTATCTCCGGAAAGATTGAATATGCTTAACCATTAGCCATTTTCTAGAGTATAACAATGTCTAACTGTTTTTTTTTTATAAAGGCTCTCTAGATGTCAACAGTAGCATTAAGAACTAGATGAGAAGTGTGTGAGAGACACGGGGCCTTCAAATTCGGAAAGTTGGGAAGGCTGGTTTCAGTCCTAAGAATTAGACAGTTTTAAATGCAGAAGTCGCTAAGTGAGGGATACCAGTCCTAAACTAAGTCTTCTCACAAGGTACCAATTAAAAATACCCAGTGGTATCAATTCATTGCTATACTAAGAATCAGGTATCATTTCAGTCTAGTGCCACGACTATTAGCTTCTTAAATCACTACTGAAATGTAAGCTCCTTTTCTTTCTAGATAGTGTCTCAATTTTTGGCTTTTCCACCTGACTGGTTGCCACTGAAGCTCCATGAGGAAGATCCTAATACCTGCTTCTCTCCTCTTGACCGCACTCTCTTTCCCCTCCAGTCTTCCATCCCCACCTATAGTTTCAGAGATACTTTTTGGCTTCACCACCTCTTCTTATGGATCACAGCTGGGAGGGGATGTGCAGGTGAAGTATGACCATTTAACATGGCACAGGGAAATGGGAGGTCAAAGGAAGTTTTTTGTTGTTAGTTTTTTTTATTACTGCTAAAAAACAAATTCTTTTAGCTAGATCTCCACAGAGACCTGTTCAAAGCCTTGAGTTAATTCATAGCCTATCCCAGTAAGAATGTGGTGGCTTTGATGGATTTCCTAATCACCTGAGTGGCCCCTAATCTAACGTCAGTCATGCATGAAATGGTTAATAATAACCTTAAACAGGAAGAAAGAAGAGAAATTAATTACCTTTGTAGTCAGAAAACTCAACCGGGGCTGAACACTCTTCCAGGAAATACTAGACATTGGTTACTCCTTCTCCATTTTGGGGGTTTCCAAAGACAATTGTTACATAATTATTATCAACATGAGGTGGCAGATTCTCAATCTTAATGGTTCTTGTCAGTTCCAGAAGTCTTGGAAAAATCTGAAGTTGCTGAATTTTGTGGTGTCTGTGACAAACAGTAACGAATATCCTGACATCTACAAATGAAAACCAGTTTATTGGTACTGTAATTTCATTTCATATTGGAAGAAAACAGATTTTACAAAGGAAGTTGACTTTGAGGCTATAACTAGGATTTAAAATTTAGATGCAAAATTTCTATGTAAAGTTATATTTCACAGTGTCAGCTTCCCACTATCCCACATTGCCTACCCTGGGCGCACAGCTATCTTTAACAGTGACCTCCATTTGTGATCATTTTGGGAGCATGGATCAACAGTTACCTCTCCAAATGAAATCAAGTGTGTACAGCCACTTTGTAAGCTGATAATGGTAATAATGGTTGTAATATAATAATCTTTGCTAAATCTTATTTCACTTCATTCCCCCTACTAACTTCACCATATCTTGGTCTCTATTTGTACATGCCATTATCATAAAAATAAGGTCCAATTACTAATAAAACTCTTTGGAGATTTGAGGGCACATACACAGTGGTTAAGAAAATACACTCAGAAATCAGAATGTCTGATTTGGAATTATGACTCAAACACTTACTAGCTGTGTGACTGTGAGCAAGTAATTTAATCCTCTCTAAGCCCAGATTTATTCATTTGTAAAATGGGAGATAATAATAGTGCCTATGTCATGGTGCTATATGTTAAGACAGAAAGTAAGTAAAAACTTAGCAGAATACTTGACAGAGAGCAAGCACTTGATAAATGTTAGTTATTAGCAGCACCAGGAGTAATAATACATAGATTCCCACACGATTCTCTTACTGAGAGTTAGAAAGAGCACAACTTTTAAAGAAGACCCATTGAGGGATACCTGGAATCTCAAAATAAGATACAACTACAATTTGCAAATGAAGGATTAAAAACTATTGTCCGTCTTACCAATATTTTTGAGAAAAATGAAGCCAGCAATTTTAATATTGGGTATTACTTCCACCCTGAAGTTGCCATTGGCTTCTGACAGGCCGCTAATTGATTCCACAAACAAGGACAGCACATTCTCAGTCATAGTGTCTTGGATATTGTGAAATGCACCAAAAGGGAGGCTTGTGAAGGATCTTTCGAAAATTCATCTATTTCATCCACTTCCATGTCATCTATTTTATCCACTCTTCTGAAAAATATTACTTTTGTACTGAGGTCTTCTGACTTCGCAATTTTTAGAGAGACAGAAACACTCGAGATGTTAGTTTTTATATCTGATTTGAGATTTGACAAGCTTTGGCTTTCATATTACTTTCTGATGTCTTAAATACTTTGGAAGAAGATAGAATTCACTCATTTCCTTATTAAAAAAAAAGAAAATAGTAACTCTTTGATTAAACGATTAAGTAATTAAACATTATACTTTTAAAGTCAAATTTACTGATGAAACTACAGGGAAAAAAGTAAAAACATGGCATGCAATGATGGTGCTCATCCACCAACACAAATTAATAGAACCACAATTTGTTACTGAAAAGAAAGAAGTTTCTGTTACTGCATAATGAAAGGGCAATCTACAGAGATAACTAAAATACAAAATGTTACATAGTCACAAAGAAGATTTGGTATGGTTAGACATTCTTGGCAGAATAGAGACTCTTACTTCCAGTTTTCATTGTTTTTAATCCTTGAAAGAGAAATAAAGGGATTTTCCCCTTACCATTATAAACAGGCTTATTCTGAACTCAGAAATCAACAGTATTCACAGCGAAGAAACACAACAGTCACTCTCCTTAGAAGTAGTATAAAACAAAATAAACCAAAAATCAGATATATGTTCTGTCACCACTTCTATTCGATGTATTATTTAGAACTCTTCCTGGTCATCAAAATAAAGTGAGGAAAAGAAATGAGGATAAACATAGAAATGGAAAGGAAATCAAAAACAGTCATTCTTTACAAATAATACAGCAATATATTGCAAAAATTTAAAAAAATCAGCAATGCCATTAAAAAAGTGAGATGACAACTATAGAATGGGAGAAAATATTTGCAAATCATTTAAATGATAGGGGACTTGTATCTAGAATATTAAACAACTTTTACTACTCAACAATAAAAACAAATAACCCGATTTACAAATAGGTAAAGGATTTGAAAAGATGTTTCTCCAAAGTAGACATATATAGGACA